ACGCCGGAGGCACACCCTTTCTGTCCTTCTCTGTCTAAAGGTAGGTACTTCCTTGTACTGCTCCTCTATATCTCCCAGGCCTGGAACCTCTGCTGGGGGGGAGGCTTTCTGCTGGAGAGAGGCTAGGCTGCTGAGGCAGAGACTGTGCCTCAGTGGGTACAACAGAGCCAGGTCCAGGCTCAGCCAACTCCACTGGAACTGGCAAAGCAAAGCCAGGACCTGGCTCAGCCTCCTCAGCCTCTGAGTCCTCCATGTCCTCAGCCTGGCTAGCCATGACACTTAGTCATAAAACCCACTAGGTGACCTTGGGCAAGTCACAATCTCTCAGCCTCAGGGGAACACAATGGCAAACATCCTTTGAGCAAATTTTCACAAGACGATCCCAAGATAGGTTCACCTTAGGGTTGCCATAAGTCAGAAACAACTTAAAGGCATGCAACAACAACTACAATTTGATTCCACACTTTGGCTGCAGTCACATCAAATGCTCATGAGTAGTGCATTTTTGTCATAATTGTTTTTGATTATGTAATTACATGTCTACCTCATTTAGTAGACATGTCACATTATAAGTACCTCTTCTCTTTATATTTCATCTCATCATTTCTCTACATTATTTATCATCACCATAATGCTCAGAGAAAGGTCATTATTTCTGTTTTACAGAATCTATGCACACAAGTATATACACCAAGAACACACCTTTGGCATTTAGTTCTTCAGCACTAAAGAAGGGCAAGCTATACATACAATTTACTCAATTTATTTACTCAAAATAAAGTGTCACCAATCATCTTTCTCAGTCTGGACCACTCACAATGATATCTCTATATCCATATAGAATGGCAGGAGGAAGAGGAAGAGTTAGTGACAGTATAAAAACAATAAGATAATGTAGCTCACTATTATGAAAACAACAGGATTTGAACGCAAGGTTTCAGTGGTGAAAAGAGTACCAAAAAGTCCCCCTTGTCCCATGCCACATAGTGTCAATCATATTTTAACATTAATTAGTCACTAGGCTGATAATTCAGTCAAAATATGCTAGACTGTAACAAATTATATTCTTAGCACATATTTCACACACTGGATCAAGTCTTGCAAGAAGTTCCTTTTATTATTTATAAGATCATGTGACGCCTTCCTGCAAAAAATGAGAGTCTGCATGAGAAAGAGAGGTAAAAGAAATGCAGGAAAATGAAACAATCAGATATTCCCTAATGATATTTAAAAATAGAAAAATTTTGCTACTGCTACATACAGCATGTTCCATCTTTTGAGATTTAATGGCTCTCTTGTGGTTTAATGGCAAATTACTTTCAGTAATTGATTATTAAAATTTAAAATTGCTAACCATCTTCATTATTAGATGAGCGAACATGTTATCCTTGTAATTAAAAAAAAAGCTGGAGATTCACTTTCATCCTGTTGACAGACTGGGCAGACGGGCTCAGCGCAACAGCATGAGGGTTTGCAGACTGGCTCCTTGTTTGACAAAAATAACCAGCACATTGGTTTGTGATAAAAATGCAGAACATCCACAGAGACTGAGCAGAGAATAATGAACAAAGATAAAAATAATAAGAGAAATGACAAAGCCTCAGAAGCTAATTAATGTGTTCAGACTCAAATATTGCCTGCACTCATTTATGTGTGATTACAGTACACACACACACACACACACACACACACACACACACACACACACTTCTCTTATTAGAAAACACACTTTGGATGGCATCAGGAAGCTTTCCACTCAGGGTAGAGTTGGATGGGGAAGAGGTGTAAAGAAGTGGCAAAGATCCCAGATATTTACTGGTAGACCTGGTAACAAATCCCCACTTGAAGCTCTGGATGACTGCTGCCAGAAAACACTGAGCTATATGAACCAATGGTCTGACTAGGGGCCTTTCACACTACATTGTCATAGCACTATTATTCCACTTTAGCCACCATGGTTCCACCCATGGCGTCACTGGCATTGGCATCACCCAGTGCAGTAACTCACAGTGTCACCTCCTCCCATACCACACCGTACAGAATCTTTAGTAATGTTTAGTAATGTTTTTCTACTAATGTTACTCATAAATTGTTATTCCTGTATATCACTGAATGTAACGGCAACAGTTGTGACATAAACAACTAGCAAAGTTAGATTTATACCTCTAAATTACAATATCATATGCACAGCCTAAATGTATTTTCATGCATACAGTTTCATGTGGTTAAAGTGAAAACTTTATTTTAAAGAAAATTTTTAAACAATTTTAAATTTATTTTTTTCATTTTTTTAATTTAAATTTTTTTAATTTAAAAATGTTAAAAGTTATTTTTAAAAAAAAAAAAACTGTGGCCTCTCCTTTCTCCTCCCATTGACCCTCACCCCACTCACATATTCCTTCAGTATTTTAAGGGACACAGGCAAGCATCAGAGCCCATTTCTGCCCAAAGCCAGATGTTTGGGAAGCAGTGGTGTCACCCCTATTAGGGTGTCACCTGATGAAGCCTGCACCCCCTAGTGATGCCCTGGTTCCACCACATGGAGTCCTGGGATATGCAATGGAGGGAGTCCTTAAGAATTTTCCACCAAAGGGGTGCTCTAGTGACTCTGATTAAACTACCAATCCCAGGATTCCATAGAATGTTGCAATTAAAGTGGAACCATAGTGCTATAATTATGTAGTGCAGGCTCTATTATATCTTTTTAGGCTTCTAACTACACCTTCAAATATACACATGTATTGGATGATGATGATGATTGATTGGTTGGTTGACTGATTATTATTATCCTATCTTTTAACCAAAACAGGGACTTATGGTGGTTTACACATTAAAACACAATGCAGTTAAAGAATACAAAACTATCAAAGACATTTAAAAAGAATTTGAAGCATACAGTTAAAAATGATATAAAACAGTTTTACAATAAAAACAATATATCAGTGTCATCTAGCTGTATAACTCAGCATGCTATAAGGAACTGCAATTCTCTGCACAATTCCAAAATCTGAACCAGAAGATCCAGTGAACCTTCAAAGTAGATGTGTGAGTCAAGGGACAGAGAAATTGCTCTGATTGCATATGCCATTGCCAAATACCATTGGATTTCCACTGTCATCTCGATGTATCTAGCAGGGTCAGTCTGTTGGTTTTGGTTTTTTGTTCTAATCTATGGGAAATTGTAGCATCTTGCTTTCTGTCTTTTGGGGAGCTATGATGGGGTGTAGCTTCTTGCACTTTTGTTCATGTATACACACAAACACATATATACATATATTCAAGGGCTATATACAAGCACACAGATGCAAAACTCTAGCATGCTGATTCCCATCCATTCCTACTATCAAGGCCAGTATTTCTTAGCCTTTTTAGGGGGACATGGGATTTGGGAAGCTGATGAAAGCTATGGACTCACTTCCCAGAAAAGTGAATTAAACACACTTTCCTGTGTAACAGGAAGCAAAATGAAGGGGACAATATGTTTTGCACCTAGTTCATGGTCCACCTGAAAATTGGTGTTGAACACTCTAGGGACTCATGGAATAAGATGGATTCCCAACATGGATTCTGTTAATTTGTTGTTGTTCTTCAGGAAATGTGTTGACTTTTCAAACACACCCTGCTTCAAATATCAAAAAAATTCTAGGATCAACAAATCTCTTCAGTTTCAAAGAGTTAGGTAAAGGTAAAGGTATTCTCCATTGACAAGGTTGTCAAGTCATGTCCAACAATAGGGACCTTTACTAAGCCCAAGAGCCAGCATTGTCAGGGACTACTCAGTGATCATGTGGCTGGCATGATTGCACAGAACGCTGTTTACCTTCTCACCGAAGTGATATCTCTTTATCTACTTGTATTTTCATGCTTTTGAACTGCTAGGTTGCAGAAGCTAGGACTAGTGACAGGAGCTCACCCCATCATGCAGCACCTGAGAGTCAGCGTCTTAACCACTTGAGCCACTGCATCCCTTTCAAAGAAATAAAATACTTATACATTTATTTATGTGCCAACAAGTGCAATAATTGTATATTAAGGCTCCTGCTAAAACATCTGTAACACAAAAGAACAACCTCATTCTTCAGTGCCATAAATTATGTTCAGTTGCAAAGTAACCTCCATGAAGCCCTAGCCCTCCTCTCTTTTCCTCCCAGGCTGAGGGAGTGAGACATCTCAAAATACTGTTAGAATATAGCAGCCCACCGGTCCAGTGATTTTCCTATGTGCCTTCCTTTGGGCTAGATTAGAAAATAGCAAATTCAGTGATGGGGGATATGAGGAGGAGGAAACAAATTAACAGATGGAGGATTGGGAGCAGATTAATACTGGGTTACATACAGAGCTTGGGGAAAAAAAATACTTCTTTGAATTCTTAGACTGTTAAGTATGGTCAGTGGCTAAGTAGGATCAATGGCTGGGGGATCCTGGAAGAAGGGTTGTGTTGTTGTTGTTGTTGTTGCTGTTGTTGTTGTTGTTTCCCAAGCTATGTACACATGCCATATGGGGGGGGGAGAGGAATGAGGGAAGCTACCCAAAGTAGTTTACAACAAGGTTAAAACAAGGTAAAGTTAAAAAGCAGGTGATAAAAAGTTAATACAATTGGCCCTCCATACCCACAGAATCAATATCGACAGATTCAACCATCCATGACTTGAAAATATTCCACTAAAAAAAATCCCAAAAGCAAACCTTGATTCTGCCATTTTATTTAAGGGACATTGTTTTATTACTCCATTGTATA